GCTCCCTGCTCAGCGGGAAGCCTGCTTCTCCCTCTCCCACTCCCCCTGCTTGTGTTCCCTCTCTCGCTGTGTCTCTCTCTGTCAAATAAGTAAATCTTAAAAAAAAATAAAAATAAAAATAAATAAAAATAAAAATAAATAAATTTTGCAAATTCAATATCTTAACATTCTCAATGAGAAGCAATAAAGTTGTGATGAATACAGATCTAATATAAAGGGGTATAAATAAGAGTTCAGTTATATCTTCTTCAGTAACCAATTTATTCGGTTGAATGTCAGTCTTGAGAAAAATCCCGACATCACGGATGATTTAGTTCATGTGACTTTTTTTTTTTTTTTTAACAGCTTGCCTTACAATCTCAGAGTAATTCTTCAAGTAAACTCATCCAGAACTTGAACATAAAAGAATAGGAAATTGGTTTCACAGTTCAGTCTCTAACAGTTTCTAACAAACTGCTCACATTTTTTTTTTATCATGTATAAGAAAACAGACAAAAGGGGAAAAAATTAGACAAATACCAAACAATTGATAATGGCTTGATGAGACATTTTATAGTTTCCTTCATTGATTATTGTTATGCTTTGAATGAGCACACAGGCAATATATGCCCTCCCATCACTTGCCACTTACTCGCCTGTCACACACATGCTGTAGTGCATTTGCTTGTACGACGTTAAGTGAACAAATGTGTGCAGGCCAGAATTGGAGCAGTGGGAGGGAAGGGAGAACAAAGGACCAGTGTAGCCTCCTGAACCTTCCTAATCAATGACACATTTACAAGAAGTCCAACTCTGTACACAGAGTTGTTAACAGGAGAAACTATTCTCAGGTCTGTATGCAAATGAGTTAACCTGCTTATGGTAGCTTCAGTGTATTAATATTTGGTACAGAACTCATTTGAATCTGTGTATTTTTTTTATCACCCTTTAAAATATTTTTTAAAAACACTGTTTTCAAAAGAAGATTCAGATTAAATGCTTGTGGAATTCCTGAAGCTCTTCAGCAGGACCTGAGGGGTTTGTGGAACAATTTGAAAACCACTCTCCTAGAGCATGTCATTCCTCATAGGAATATTTTCTTCAGTTTTTCTTCATTTCTTATTTGAAATTAGAGTTCTGGTAAATTAAGAGGGGAATACATAGGTCTCTGTTACAATGTATTTATTTACGGGGTCTTGTATACTTAATGATAGCAAATCTCAATAATAAAGCGGTCAACAGCAAAAATTGAGACCGAACCCATCCCCCGGGTATGTATGAGACAATGTATAATTTGCAATATTTTCTGATGATTAATATATCTTAACAGCTTATTTTCATGTTTCACATATTCTTGTTATATGAGCATAAATTCGTATTATTAATAGGTCTAAACTGAGATACCAATAATTTGAGTTCCTAAGCCTGATCTTTAAAATGGAATTCCAGGACACTCTTAGCTCTCATATGTTTATACAAGTTTTATCTGGAAGAAAGATGGTAACCTTTGGCTTGTTTAAAACACACAAACACACACACAAGGATATAATGAAGATGTGGTTTCACTAATGTTGCTTCAAAATAGACTCTTCTCTTGTAATAACTGGATTTTCTACCCCATGCCTCTTCATTTCTCACAGTTTCTTCACAATTTTCTTTCAACTTTTCTCACTTTTACTTTTTATTAGAACCCTAATATGTATAATTGAAAGTAATCTTAGAGGCAATTCAGTCCTCCCATTTTATAGGAGTTCAGAGTGAAGTGGTGGTCTTACCCAGATGCTGGCTGGAAAGGAGCTTGAGCGTGTGTCCTAGAATACCCAGATTTATATAAAGAAAAAAGTCATAGAAATAATTATTTTCCTAACTGACCGCTTTGGTTCTAGAATCTCTATATGGTCTTCCCTATAACTTTAGACTTTGAACTGCTGATGGGCAGAAAAATACTCCTTCCGTTCTAGTAATGACCCATCTGTGTGTAAATAGAGATGCACTTGTGTTAAAATCCTGAGGCAGTATGGAATAGAAAAGAGCAGGGTCTCTGAGACAGGGAGATCAGAACCTAGGTTTTGGTCTGGCTGCCTCCTAGCTTTGTGGGTATGGGAGGTTATTTAGCCTCCCTTAAGTCTCATTTTCTTCATCTATAAAATAGGGAAATAACATGCAAAGCTCCCTGAGCTCGATAAAACACAGTGAAGTAAATAAGTTGGTTATAACGAGAAAAGATAAAGGCTATGTTAGAAGCATGACAGCTGAAAGTGACATCAGGAGAGAAAAAAGGAATGCAGCAGAGAGCACATGGGAGAACGGGGAACATGAGCAACTGCAGGAGGTGGGAAGCAGTTTGACTTGTATTTAGTTCAGTTCTAATATTTTAAGACACATTCTTTGCCTCTTTTCATTAGCGTATATCTTATACAATTTTAGCCTATATTGAACTTAAACATTTTATTTTGTGGTCAAATTGTGTTTAAATTTTTAAGTGTCCCCTTTATTTTTATTAATGTTATTCTGAGTAATCATACACATTTTAATTTAATTTACAGGTCGCCGTTTGTTGCATCTGTTTTTTTGTTATTCTTCCTCTAAATCTTGTTGGTACAATACTTGGCCGAAATCTGTCTGGTCAGCCCAACTTTCCTTGTCGTGTCAATGCTGTGCCTCGTCCCATACCGGAGAAAAAATGGTAAAGAGAATGCTAAATCTATGTCATTGTTCCTCACAATATAGAAATTCTTAAGGCTATTATGTATATATAACTTTTAGAATTGGCATGTATTTATAAGTATGTCTTAAGTTGGAACTTAAGAATTTGTCTTTTTACTTTTGCCTCCAGCCTATATTGTTAGGAGTAGTAATCAATTATATCCTTATTTCACTTTATGAATCTTGGTGCCATTTACAGATAAACTAAATGCTTTGATAAGTACATTAGTGCATCTCTGTGGGTGGGACGGTTTTATTATTGTATACAGGACAGAATTGACCTGCTGCCTATTTTTGAAAGAGACGTTCTGTTGGAACATATCTATGCCTGTTCCTTCACATATTATCGATGATTGCTTTCACACTACTGCGACAGATAGAGACGGTATCGCCTTCAAAACCTCAACTATTTACTATCTGAGAAAGTTTGACAACCCTTGGCTTATAATTTCATTTTCCTTTCCAGATATTTTATTATTCTAAATAATAACATATTTATAGCCACATATATCGTACCGGTTGAGAGATGAATTAGGACTAAGACCAGTTAATAATTTACTGACTTAATATTCTTTGTCCTCACTTCTGGGATAGTATAGAATCTCTCAAATACATTCTGTCACATTTTATGCACAAAATGTGTTCTTGAGGACCTCCCAGAATTCAAGATTAATCTTGACAAAGGATGATGAATATTTCTGTTAAACAGCCGAGGAGATTCTTTAATTGCAGCAGTATACACACAGTTTACAGTTTATTTGACTGATCATTGAAAGTTCTTTTTAACTTGAGATAATTTGTATTTTTTCAAATTCCAGACATAAAATGGGATGTCATTAATATGTTATATTTCTAAGTTTTGTAATTCAAATTTGAATAAAATGTGAACTCGTATAAATATATTGCCTTTTAAAATTTGTAAATTAAATGTTTTAGTCCGAATTATGCTATTCTGCATACTTCATTTTCCTAATTCTTACTAGCGGACAAAAATAGAGCAGTCTTACCATATATACATTTATTACATTCTCCATCTCGTAAGAATAGCTATACATTAGACTCTACATATTCATAATAAGGGATATATATTGAAAAGCCTCTGTTCCTAGATATTTTACCTTATTAATAGACATAATTTATATTCAGATACTTACATATATGGTCTTTTGTAGACTTGGAGGTCATTTATAGAAATGGAGGCTGAGTAAAAACAGCACTTACAGTTTAAATTAAGAGGGTGATCTGTTCTAGTCTTAGGATTGTCCATGTTCCCTTTTCTCTTAGATTGGTGATTGTGAGATCTTGTGTACTTTGTTTTTTAAAGTCCATTTTCTCTTTCAAATCAAGAATAGACTCTAGGTCACTAGGGCTGGTGAAGGGGAGGAAGGAACAACACGTGACCTTGCAAACCATGGGTCACAGTTAGTTGGAGGAAGGCTCATGTGTATCTTTATTTTCCATATATAGTTACATGGGATCTAAAATCTGAATACTAGATCTGGCTCTGATTGATTGTGTTATCTTGTGCAGATCATTTTTAACCTCTACGGGTCTTGGATTCCTATAAAAGGAGGAAAGATAACTAGATTAAATGGTTTTTAAGGTTTTTTTTTTTTTTTTCAGCTTTCAAACTCCAATTTCTTCTCAGTTTTGTTTTGTTTTGTTTTAGAGAGAGTGTGTGTGTGTGTCTGCATATGCACGCACGTAGAGGGGGGATGAGCAGAGGAAGAGGGAGAGAGAGAATCTTAAGCAGTCCCAGCATTGGGCCTGACTTGGGGCTTGATCTCACGACCCTGAGATCATAATCTGAGCCGAAACCAAGAGTCAGATGCTTAACCGACTGAGCCACCCAGGCGCGCCCCTCTTCTTGGTTTTTTTAGTTTGTTTATCCCAGAGATTCTTAGTTTGTTTATACTAGAGATAGTAGTTGAGTATCTTTTATGTGTCAGATACTGTGCTGGGCATTGGGAATACCTAGATGAATAGCTTCTGCCTGCCATAGTTTATAGTCTAGCGAGGTACGCTATGTATGTAATTGCACAGTTCCAGATGTGGTAAGTGCTGCCACAGAGTTATGTTCAAGAGGTAGTGCAGGCCTGGGGGAAAGACCCACCTCTTTCTGGGAGACTTGGGAAGGACTTTACGGGGAGAACACTGGAGCCAGGGCTTGCGGGAGAAGTAGGACGAGAAAAGGCATTCCAGGTGGAGAATTAATAGTTGCATCAGTATATGTTTTTTGAGTGAATGAGTGAGGTTTGAATTTTATTTTTTTATTCACTCTTTGGCTCCAGGGTAACCCAGAACTCATAATACCTTGATTGTATAATTCACAGGAAAAGAAATTAGTGAACCAAGGAAAGCATGAACAAAGAGATGGCAAGGCCACAATTTGGGAAACATTATTTCAGATAGGGCTCTCAAGACTTTTCTTTTCCTATGGCTTTCTATAAATAAATGCCTGTAAAGTTTTTAGAAGTTGTTGAGAGATGTAGAACAGAAGCAAATACTTAAGAGTTTTTCCTGAGTTCTGTCGGTAGCAAGAATTTCTATTCCCCGAATTCTTATCTTGGCCTCTTATGCCAGAAAGAACGTTGACTATAACCTATGGCTAATTTGAAGGCCTACCTCTGTATTGTAACCTCTTTGAATTTTTGTTTTTCTTTTTACTGGTATGTTTCTATCCCTTAGATTATTTTTAAGTACCAAGCATCTGCTTTCTATTTGGGTTTATATATTATAATGTGAAAATCATACTAGACGTTTATTGCTAATTTTAATATTTTCCAGGTTCATGGAGCCTGCAGTTATTGTTTGCCTGGGAGGAATTTTACCTTTTGGGTCAATCTTTATTGAAATGTAAGTTGTGGCAATGCATTTATGTTTTGAGGGATGTAATTGTAATAAGAGAATTTAGGAGTTAGAGTAGGTGTAGAATCATCAGATGGGAAGGCATCTAACAGAGTTATTAGTCTGCTAATTTCATGACTCCCAGAAAGGGATCTAACATAATCTACCTAAAAGCAGTTTTCTGCTGTGGTCTCAAATATTCAGGTGAAATTTATGTTTTGTATTATGTTCTAGACCCTTCTCACCTAACAGGAGATCTTAGAAATGAAAGAATGCATGCTAAAGAATACTAGACCAGCTTTGATCACATGCATGATAGAAGGAATTACTGGTTTTTATTATATTTTTAAAGTATTTCTGAGGGTCTGGGCAACTAGGTAAACCATTACCTACCAGTCTGTCTAGATCTTGACATCGTCGGATACATATATTCCCAGTCTCCTTCCATAGAGGCTTACAGGAGTGCTGGGAAATGTGAATGTGTTTGGGGGTGGAAGGTATGCCCCCTGGTGCCCAGGTACTGTGCTTCATACCTGCATCCTTGGTCACCACTGCAAAATACGAGTCTTTCTTTTCTCAGCTTGTAGTCCAGCGTTCCTTGATGGGAATGCTCTGGCATTTTAATCAAGACACTTCTTTGTATGGGACTTTCTCAAGAACTGCAGTCATATACCTCTGGTTCTTGCCCACAGAATGCCAGTCATTGTGACTACTCAGAACTCCCTTACACATTTCCAGATGCCCCACTGCTGATTCTCTCCCGTACAGTGGACACCTCCTTAACGGACATGATTGGATCTGATAGTTGGTTAATTGAAAGTTGGCTCATGTAAGAGAATTATTAAAAAAAAAAAAAATCATACATAACATTTTATTTTAACTTAAAAAACTAAAGGTACATCTTTCACTCATTTTTTAAAAATATGGAGCCAAAGTCTTTAATTTATATCTAGTCAGTGTTTCCATCATTTTCCCTTTGACATTCGTAATGTATCTTCTGTGTTTCCAGCGTTTTTAAAGTGGAACAAGAACATTAAGACCTGTCTCAAGCATTCTAAGTGCAGAATCCTTCTAGATTTATACATTTCTCCCCCAGACTTTCATAGTTGTCTCACCCACACCTAATTTCATATTGTTTTTTTTTTAAGTGATTCACCTTAATAAATTTCTACAAAACATTCAACATAATGTTCATAGAAATCATGCATCCTTTTTGCTGTCATGTTTATTGGTGTATATCATATTCAATTACAATATCTAATTACACTAACAGGCATAATTGACATAGATTTGGGCCACCCCTGGTGGTCACCTACCAGCTGTGAGTGTGCTGTGGGTATTAGTCGGTACCATAGAGGGACTGGAATGTGGTGTCACTCTAGCTTGTGTTTTAATAAAGCCAGTTCATGAACCTCTTTGGTACTTCTAGGCTTATATACTGCTTTGTATCCTCACCCTGACTTGACCTCTATTTTTCTGCCCTACCCCTGTTCCCAGTACCTTCTGGATCACATCTCTTCCTACTTTCTCAAGTACTGCATTCCATTAGATAGCCTCTCTGCTGTATCCTTAAGTTCTTTTCTGTTTTGACCACCCTCAAGCCCATTCTCCTCTCAGTAGCCACAGTGATCATTTTAAGGTGTTAATCTGATCACATCACTTCTTTACTAAAGACTTTTCTTCATTTTCATTGAGGTAAGGTCCCAATCCCATAACATAGCCAGTAAGGACCTTCATAACGTAGGATCTGGCCTCATTCGCTTCTCCATCCACATCTCTTAGCTCTCACCCCTTCACTTGAAGTTCTAGCCATAGAACATTTCTAAATACAGTGAATTCCCTTATTTGTAAGCTTTGCCTTTGCTGTTCCTATTCTGGCTCCCCTTACCCCCCACGTGCCTTATTTGATTCTTCTCACTACCCCTTCTCCCCAGAGCCCCACCTAACCAAACCGGTAAGATGCCCCTCTTAGGTGCATTGATAAACCACATGTCATGGAGAGTCATGACTGCCTCCTTACTGGTGATCCCCTCTTTACAGTAAGTCCTTGAGGGTGGAGGAGAGACTGTGTCATCTTCACAGTTCTGTTCTCACGTTTCTCTGACATGTGGTAGGGCCTCTAAATAGCTGTTGAAAGAATGAGTGACAATAAGTGAGCTAAACAGAAGAGAACAAGAAGAGAGGCCAAAAGACCCTTTTCTACTGATGACTTGCGGAATGGAATTAGAGTGAGGGTCTTGTTCTTTGTATAAAATGTTAATGCCATCTCTTACTGTTCTCCAAAACAGCAGGAAGCTTCTTTAGGCTTTCTTTTTCTAATTATTTTTATTTTCCTAATTTTATACAGTATTACTCTATCAAACCTACTTTCTAAAATTTACTAGGGTGTTTTATAAACTATACATTGCTTGAATAGTGTTGTATCTAGAAGAAAAATGAAACAATGAAGGAATTGCCTTTATTTTACAGATACGAATTTTTAGCTATTTTCATTTTTCTTTGCCACATTTTACTCCTTTAAGCTTCTAATTTATTCAGTTTGCTTAGAGATGAATGCCCTACTAAAAAATCTGTTCTTGAAAGATTATCCAAGAAAATATATTTGAGAGATTTTTGGAGGATTTAATAGATAAAAAAGGGTAAGAGAGTTGGAAGTTACTTGAAAGAAAATAATTGAGATTTAAGTATGACGAAAGTGAGAACTAAGATGTGAGATTTAGCAAAAGCGGGGTGAGCTTCAAGAATAAAGACTAGAAACTCTGTCTTTATTGCCTTTTATTTAGGTATTTCATCTTCACATCTTTCTGGGCATATAAGATCTATTATGTCTATGGCTTCATGATGCTGGTGCTGGTCATCCTGTGCATTGTGACCGTCTGTGTGACCATTGTGTGCACATACTTTCTACTAAATGCAGAGGATTATAGGTGGTAAGTACTTACATTGGGGAGGAACCTCAGGGGACTATCATATTGTCAAGGAAGATGCCATTTGAAGTGTATTAAGTAAAAGATCTGTATAGAAATTTTGTTCCTTAAGATAGTATAGGAATTTTTTTTAGTTATAAAAATAATGAAGATTTTAGAGGAAAAGTAGTATCAGCCAAAAAAAAGTTTTTGTACTCATAATGGTCACTGTGTTATATATTTTTACAAAGTGCTTGATGTGGGAAGAACTTTATGAGAAAGCATTGATCCATTTTGAACAAAAGGAGGTAGTTCTGAAAAAGGAAGTGGTTTAAGGTCACTTATAATAGGGCATCTGACAAAATTCAGGATCTCTCCTTCCAAATCTTAGGCTTTCTCCTTGTTGATATAATTAAATGCCATCTACATGCATTTTTTTTTTAAAGATTTATTTGTTTTACGGAGAGAAAGAGAGCAAGCTTGAGTGCAGGGTGCGGGAGGGGCAGAGGGAGAGAAAGAATCTTAAGCAGGCTCCACACCCAGCGCAGAGCCCCACACAGGGTTTGATCTCATGACCTTGAGATCATGACCTGAGTTGAAATCAAGAGTTGGCTGCTTAACCACCTGTGCCACCCAGATGCCCTTACATGCATTTGTTTTTAAGTATACAGAATTTTCAAGGATGTTTTTATAAAATTCTTTGGTTTAAAATCTGTTTCAGTGCCATTTATTCAAAAGAGTTACCTTTTATTCCAGGCAATGGACAAGTTTTCTCTCTGCTGCATCAACTGCGATCTATGTTTACATGTATTCCTTTTACTACTATTTTTTCAAAACAAAGTAAGTGGAGACGTTTTCTCATTTTGTATTTAGGAAACTAAAGTTGTCATTTAAATACCAGAATTTAGGAATAAAAGATAGAGCATAGGGAATATAGTCAGTGGTATCGTCAGCATTGTATGGTGACAGATGGTCGCTACACTTGTGGTGAGCACAGCAAAAATCAAAAGTTGTCCAGTCGCTGTGTGTACACCTGCAACTAATGTAACATTGTGTATCAGCTAACTGTACTCCAATTTTTAAAAATAAATAAATAAATAGAATGTAAGGCCCTATGTTGAAAGTAAAAATGGATATACTACATATATTTTTTTGTCTTATTTCAGGATGTATGGCTTATTTCAAACATCATTTTACTTTGGATATATGGCAGTATTTAGCACAGCCTTGGGGATAATGTGTGGTAAGTTCTGAAGTTTTTGGAATATCATGAGTAAATCTTTGAGATTTTTAGAATCAGAAAAATATAGTAATTGGAAATTACATTTTGTTGCTTGATCAGAAACAACAAAATAAAAAGAGTCTGATTTCAGTCCTTTTGACTATTCCTCAAAAATTCATCATTGATTCTTTTTTAATGTTCTGTTCCTAATAATTCTGTATTGCACTCTTTTCTGTACCACAATTAGTTTCTTTTTCATGTTGAAATTTAGCCTTTTTTTTTAGTTTAGTCTCTTTGGAAACAATAATGATGTAAACAGGTTAAGGTATTGGCTGAATGATTCCTGTTTGGAAGTTTCTAAGACTGTTCATGGAGATAACTGTGTCCAAGAGGCAGTGTCCGGGTTATAAGTACACACTTGGGTGTCTGCAGACTGGGTTTAAGTTCTGGCTGTGCCACATGTATGTTCTGTACCTTGATCCAGTTCTCCAAACTATGTAAAATGAGGATAATACCACTGTTTTTTGGGTTTATCACAGTTAAATAGAAGTAATAGTTATCACCACACGATAGAGTCTCTAGCATGTGTGAAATACCTAGAAAATAAAGAAAGAAGTATTGGAAGCAACCTGATAAAGGGAAAGGTCATGGACTTGAGAGCCTGAGAGAGCCAGATTAAATCTCTGTGCTGCTTTTTTGTGGCCATGGGAAGTCATATTGAGCTCTCTAAATCTCATTTTCTCATCTGTAAAATGGGCATATTTTTCAGAGTAGTTATTTGTCATAGTATCATGTGTAAAGTGCAAGAGTAATGCAGGTCTGTTATCAGGTGTTTCGAGAGACTCAGTTTTGTGGGAGACATGGTGGGGAATGGGAAGAGCTGGGGCTTTTGGGGTCACTTAGTCCTAGGTGCGAATCCTGGTGCCCCTACTTAATAGCCATGTTACTCTGGCCAAATTATTTAACCTTTCTTCCTCAACATTCACATTTGCAAAACAGAAGTAACACCTACCTCACAGGGTTGTGTTAAGGCTTCAGTGACTGGATGTGGGTAAACAGGTAGATGGCAGGCAGATGCTCTGTGAACTGTGTCTGCGCTGTTCCCCCACTGACGAGGGCTAATAATCCCTTGATCCGGTTCTCCAAACTATGTAAAATGAGGATAATGCCACTGTTTTTTGGATTGCTTCTGTTCTGGGATTGTGTCTCTGGGTCTGTAGTTTGTTTTTACACCTTGTGTTTTCACCTTAGAACAACCTCATGAGTTTAAGCAGGGGTACCTTAAGGGAAATGCATTCAAGTAACTTACTTTTCTTTTGGTTCCGGTTTTCACTTGATAAGTGAGGCTAATTCCCCCATGGGAATGATGCAAGGCTTAAGGACTAATCACCGTGAAAACATTTCCAGGTAGTTTATAGTTCAGACCCTTCTCATTTCTCTGTTATTTGCCATTGACTTTTTTTTTTTTTGGTAGTTCCATCTTTAGCTATAGGGTAGGCAATAGAATAAGGAAGGTATGATAATTTTGTTAAAAGCTAGGTTCTGGTATGACATTTGTGGCCCTTTGGGGTACCAAGGTTGCTTTTTTCCTCCATCGAAAGAATACATTCCATAGATTGGTAGTTACCAGAGGTGGGGGGATTAGGAGTGTGGGCAAAATGGGTGAAGGTGGTTAAAAGTTTCAAACTTCCAGTTACAAGATGAGTAAGTTCTAGACATGTATGGTGACTGCAGTTAACAGTATTGTATATTTGGAAGTTGCTAAGAGATTAGATCTTAAAAGTTCTCATCACAAGAAAAAAAATCTTAACTATGTACTATGTGAGGTGATGGATGTTAATTAAATTTATTGTGGTGGTCATTTCACAATATACACGTATATCAAATTATTATGTTGTACACCTTAAACTAAAACAAATGTTTTATGTCAGTTAAAATCTGTCCCATTTATATATACTATGTACTTGATCATGTGCATGTGCGCGCACGCACACACACACACATGACATTGTAAAGTAGTAAAACTAATTCCACAAGCTATAAGGAGAGACAGTTCTCTATATTATGATCACATATTTTATTTGTAGCTGCTGTGATAACCTTTCCCTGTGATAATTAGTTAACCAACTTTGAGGGAAAGAGGACTAGGATTAAAACTAGATTTGTATCACATGGGAACCACCTTGTGTATCTCTAGGCAATCAGAAGTTTCCTTTAGTATTATTATTAGCCTGCCTTCCTTAAGAATGTTGCTCCTCAAGCCCCTCTTTATTTAATCTGAGATCTTTCTTGATTATCACCAGCATTCAGTGATGTATAGAATCATGAGATTATGCAGAGGGTTAAATCTTTTTTTCTTGACTCAACATGTGATCTTAGGAAGACCTAGAGAGATAATATCTTGACATTTACAAAGAAAATGGGATGAATCTAGCTAATTTTTTAGTGCTTTTCCTGTTGAAATTTCATCTTGCTGCCTGAAAATCTTGGCACACTTACAGTTGCCTGCTGTTGCAGCAGCATCCCAGCATTTATTCTGTCATGGGTGTATGTGCCTTCAGTGCTAGTCTGTTTTGGCGGGGTCGGGGGGGGCGGGCGCGGAGAACCAGTTCGGATGAACTGATTAAAATGTCATCGTAATACAAAAATTGCACCTCATCAGGTTATATTGCTAAAATGCTTTTTTTAGTCAGTAATTGAAAGAAAAATACTGATTTTTTTGAAAAAGAAATGTGTTAAGGTGGAAATAATTAGATTGTTAGTTTTCATATTTTGATTGTAGCATTTTAGTTTTAAGGAAATTAAGTTTAAAAGTGTATTTCTGGGGCGCCTGGGTGGCTCAGTCGTTAAGTGTCTGCCTTCGGCTCAGGTCATGATCCCAGGGTCCTGGGATCGAGCCCCGCATCGGGCTCCCTGCTCT